TCTGCTGCTACAGATCCTGCATCTCCTTGGGAGCAAGTGCCAAACAGGGCCATACTGCCTCCAAGGCCTCAGCTCTTCCCCATTCCCCTTAAGGTTCCAGATATCTACCCCTTATCACTTCCTACCCCTCCCTGCTTCCTTTTCAAGCCCCATGGCAGGCTCCATGTAGCAACTCTCAACTCCCTGGAGGGGTCAAAAGGTTAAAAGTGGTGGAATCATGTGAAATAAACTCAGAAATTTACCGTCATGCTGAAATGCTGGTTCATGCTGAAATGTGAAGGGTGGAATATCCTGAAATGACAGCTGACGTATGTTTAGCATTTCATATACATTATTTCAAAACAACCCCATTAGGTATAAATACTATTGAGTTTTATCCCCATTGAATATATGAAGAGAAAGGCTGCTTAGCACAGAACTCTGCTACATTCTAGATACACGGACAAGTCCCTAAACCACCTCAGGGCACTGGCCAGCGCTCTAAGATTATACATCACAGATCTGCACCAGAGGAAGGGGTTACCACACCGGGAGTTCCACAAACTGGGAAAATCATATTAGTCCAGTGCCTTCCCCTTTCCCCCTCCCCAAAAAAAGAGTGATGCTCAGAGGTTCTGAAGTCTTCCTGTCTGAAATCTAGCATTCCCACGCTGGCTTTATGGATCCCCGGAGTACTGGGGCGGGGGGCGCCACTAACCGGACTCACAATTAATTAACCTCGGGTTTCACCGAGGTCTTCCCAGACAAATTTGGGAGAACCCCGGAAGCCCCGCCCCCCTCGTCATTTCCGGTTTCTTCCTTTACTCCCTTCGGTGCCCCCTCCCCCCGCCGCCGGGTTCCGGCCCCGCCCCTTCTTGGTTCCGGATTTACTCCCGGGCTGGACCCTCGCCCTGTACCGGCTCCCGGGGCCGACGCCCCCGCCCCTCATCCTACGGCCTCCGCCCCGCCCCCTCGGCCCCGGCTCTGGATCTTTCCCCCGCAGCATTGCGGTCTCGGGTCCCGGGGCGCCCTCCCCCCCGCCCCGGCCCCAGGCTGGGCCCGGCCGCAGCCCATGGAGTCCCAGTGCGACTACTCGATGTATTTCCCCGCGGTGCCGCTGCCCCCCCGGGCGGAGCTGGCCGGGGATCCGGGCCGCTACCGGGCTCTGCCGCGGAGGAACCACCTTTACCTGGGGGAGACGGTGCGCTTCCTGCTAGTGCTGCGCTGCCGAGGGAACGCCGAGGCTGGTGCCGGGGGCGGGCCCGGGGCGCTCCCCGGAGGCACCTGGGCCGAACTAGCCGCGGCCCTGGCGGCCCTGGCCTCGGTCAGCGCCGGAAGTGGGGCACCGGGATCCGCAGACCTGGACGGGCAATCCCCAGGGACTGCGGGGCTGTTCTCGGACTGCAGCCCCCTTCTCACCCATGGCCCGGGCCCTGCCACAGGCGGGGGAACAACCATGGTGAGGAGCAAGGGGTGCGGGTGCCCACGAGGTAAATGCTCGGGGTAGCGGGGAGGTAGAAGCCTCTGCGAGGCTGGATGTTGTGGGAGAGGTCTGGGCGTGGGCACAGCCCACCAGGAAGGGGGTGGGACTGAAGGCTCCTTAATACCTCGCTGACCTCTGTGAACTCGCCCCCCTCAGTTGCCTGTGGAAGAACCAATTGTGTGCACAGATGAAGTCATCTTCCCACTAACCATTTCACTGGACAAACTACCCCCAGGCACACTTAAGGCCAAGGTGAGACGGGGAGGGTGCTGTTGCCCACCAGAAAAACTCTCCCCTCCCCAGGAGTCCATCTGTCTGTCTCTCCCTCATCCAGATTGTAGTTACTGTGTGGAAAAGGGAGGTTGAGACAGCAGAGGTCAGAGATCATGGCTACCTGAGATTGCTGCAGACCCGGGCCCCTGGGGAGACATTCCGAGGGGAGCAAAATGCGTTCAAGGCCCAAGGTGTGGAGTTCAGAGCCATGCTAGGGAGAAGGGGCACACGTGTTTGAATAACTAGAGGGTTTGCTAGTGGGTTTGGGATGGATGGGGGTATATTTTTAATTGCCTGGTCGGGGAAAACAATATAACTATTGGGGTGGGGCTGTGTGATGGGGAGGAGGTGAAGCAGCATGGATCTACAGCTACTAGACTAATCCACCTTTCCTTCCTTCCACTTTACAGTGAGTACCCTGCTGACCCTACTACCCCCTCCAGTTCTGAAATGTCGACAAATCACTGTGGCTGGAAAACACCTGACAGTGCTCAAGGGTGAGCAGGCTGGCTGTCTGTGTTCCATGGGGAGAGATACTTTGGGGGCTTCAGATTGGATCTAAGATAGGCTATTTGGGGGGGAGGGGAGTTAGGGTGGAGTCCTTGGGGTATAAGGTTGGGGTTCAGGTGCCCTGAACTTAAACAATCCAGTTAACTCTTGCAGTGCTGAATAGTTCCTCACAAGAGGAAATTTCTATCTGGGACATCCGAATTCTCCCAAACTTCAATGCCAGTTATCTACCTGTCATGCCTGATGGTTCTGTGCTGCTTGTGGACAATGTCTGGTGAGGCTTAAAGAAGGAAACACGTGGGAGGAACAGGGTAGGGGATTTGGAAGTGTCTGCTATAGGGGGTTCATATCCCATCCGTTTTCCCTCCTGAATTAGTCACCAGTCTGGGGAGGTCTCCATGGGCTCCTTTTGTCGTCTCCCTGGTTCTTCTGGCTGCTTCCCATGCCCCCTTAGTGCTCTGGAGGAACATAACTTCCTGTTCCAGCTGAGGGCAGGTGAACAACCCCCTCCAAAAGGCCAGGAGGTAAGCATAGGGGGTGGTGTATAAAAGATTGGGATGTGAAAAGAAGATGGAATGGATGTTCTGTAGAATGAATAATGAGGGCAAGGTTCTCTAAAGAATGCCTGTTCCTTCTATTTCTTCCCTTCCATAGGGTCTAGAGGTATCTCTGGTTGCTATAGTTCAGTGGTCTACACCTAAGTTACCATTTACCCAGAGCATCTACACCCACTATCGGTGAGTATGCCCCATTTCTCAGATCCCCCATGGGTAGTAGATTCAGTCTTCTGTCTCTGCAGACCTCACTTTCTGCTCTTCCTGCTTTCTCTACCTCAGGCTGCCTAGCATCCGCTTGGACCGTCCATGTTTTGTAATGACTGCCTCATGTAAATCCCCCGTGCAAGTTCACGAGCGTTTTACTGTTACCTATACACTGCTCAACAATTTACAGGACTTCCTTGCTGTTAGGCTTGTCTGGACCCCAGAGAATGCACAGACTGGTAGGTATTCATGCCAGTGTCAGCAACTAGAGTCTTTAAGAGAGGAAGACAGCTTAAGTCCTGGGGGCCATGAACCAAAAATGAAAATGAAAGGTCTTAGAAATTCTGCTAACCTATTTTTTACCCCTCTTTCTTGTTAGGAAAGCAGCTATGTGAAGAAGAGCGCAGGGCTATGCAGGCTGCCTTGGACTCTATTGTTTGTCATACACCACTCAACAATCTTGGTTTCTCCAGAAAGGGTACTGCGCTCACTTTCAGTGTGGCCTTCCAAGCCCTAAGGGCTGGACTTTTTGAGGTAACTAGGGGTAACGGAGGTGGGGGGGAGAAATAGGATATCCTGACGACTGGTATAGAGGGGCTTTCAGAGTGGATGAAAAGATGAGAGCTGCAGCATGGAAGAGGTGGAAACTAGAACTTAAGTTTTGCCAGTAGGAAGGAAGATCAAGGCTTTTCCAGCACTGGAAGGGGGCTGGAGTACAGAGGCTTAACCCTTCTGGTCTCCCTACTGTAGTTGAGCCAGCACATGAAGCTGAAGTTGCAGTTTACTGCCAGTGTATCCCACCCCCCACCTGAGGCCCGGCCTTTGTCACGAAAGAACAGTCCTAGCAGCCCTGCTGTTCGAGACTTCATGGAGAGACATCAGGGTAGCCTGGGCCGGTCCCAGTCCTTCTCCCACCAGCAGCCCTCCCGAAGCCACCTCATGAGGTATGAAGCCAGGGAAAGGAACTCTTTGATGTTCTGGATATCTGGGGTCCTGGGAAGGTTCCAGAACAAAGGCCACATTCTTGCACTAACCACTTACTGTATACCCTAGGTCAGGCAGTGTGATGGAACGCCGGGCCATCACACCTCCTGTGGCCTCCCCAGTAGGCCGCCCCCTCTACCTGCCTCCGGATAAGGCCATGCTCTCTCTGGACAAGATTGCCAAGCGTGAGTGCAAGGTCCTGGTGGTTGAACCTGTCAAGTAGGGAAAGCTGGATCCCTATTCCCTATTCAAACACTCCTAGAAATTGGAAACCCCCTGGAAGGGGTCCTCGTTTTGTGGCTGCTGTCTCTCCTGGGATGCTCCCTGTGGAACATGTGGGAGATGATGTAGCTGTCTGTCTGTGTCTGCTGTTTAAAGGAAAGGGTTGAAGTTGAATTGGGAACTAGGGCTGGGGGAAAAAAAGCCAACAGTATTTCCTTATGTTCCTGTCCGGGAGGGCTGGTCCCATCCCCAGTTCTGTTCCCCACTCTCCCTCACCCCACTTTCTGGTTCTAAGTTTACAAAATATTTTTCTTATACCTATGACATTCCTCTTCCCCCAACCAGCAGGGGCTGAATTTGGAAAATGGTAATGATTCAGTGGATCTCAATGGTTGCCCCCCTCCTCAGACTCAGGTGGGGGGGGCGGCAATGTTATGTTTTCCTCCGCTCCCCCAATTCATGTTTATAACCTCAAGCACTTTAATTTAAAGGTTTTTGTCTGTCCGTGTAATTTCTTCATGTCTTCTCGTACTGCTTCCAACTGAATTGAGACCATTAAATGTCTGCCCAGGAGGAAGGAGAAATTAATTGCTGTCTGTCTATTAAAGGAGTGGGCAGAAGTGTCAGGGCTGGGGTCATCATGAGCCAGTCATTTCACTTCCTGGGCCTATTTCCTCATCTGTGAGGAATCAGACCAAATGGTCTCTAAGATCCCTTCCAGCTGTAAACCTAAGATAACACTATTCTTAAGAGAGGGAAGAAAGAAATAGGACATATCCACACACACCTCAAGGGTACTAGTGTCAGACACCATGTTTATTGGAAAGAAGGGAGAGTATCCCTGCCCTGATCCCCTTTTACACTGAGAAAAAAACCCAACCCTCTGCCCACTGAGCAGGGATGGGGAGAAGAGATGAAGACAAGGCAGAATGACTAGATTCTATTAGGGAAAGTGGTAAAATCACGTATGTGGAAAAGCAGTAAGCTTACAGAGATACTCTTAACCTTCCCCTCCAATCCCCTGTAGTCTCAGACATTGATGGGTTCACGGCTGTGATTCTGTCTTTTCACCACAAACACCTTCTGTCCAGATACAGTCACCAACAACGTGTGTTCCCCGAAGACCACTAGGAACAAAGGGCCCCCCCCAAAGACAAAAAGTTGGCTAGAATCAAAGCCAGAGAACCCCACACCCTGAGGGTTGGGGAGTTGAGGCTGAATGGTTTTAATTAGGTAAAAAGCAGAATAAGAATGGCTTGGAACTTGGGGAAGAGGCAATGAGGGGATTTATACTTTCTTGAGGAAAGGAGATTTGTGAGAGCTCCTTTCATGATCCAGGGGTCAGGGACTTACCAGACAGGCGTTTGAAGGGCATGTCAAGGCCACGGTACAACCGGAAACCACAGGCTGTGCTCACTAGCTCAGAGATTGCACCAGCTGCTTGTTCATCATTCTCCAAATCACCAGATGACTAGATGATAAGAGTTGAAACCAAAAATTAAGAGAAGGATCACATGAACAAAACAGTGTATTTTTAATCTCTTCCCACCTCCCTTCACAAGTGCCCCCCCCCCCCAATACACACACTGGCTCTTTCCCTTTTGGCCAGCTTAAGGGAAAGGGGGAAAAATACCAAAAAAACAAAAAAAATCCTTGCTTGAGCCTGCTACCTATTCTGGTGACCAACCATATCATAACTTTCTTTTGCCACCACTTTTCCAATGAGCCAGTGGTTTACCTTTGTCCTTTCTCATTCCTTCCCCAAAACCCCTTGCAATTTGGCTTCTGTAGCCTTCAGTCTACTGAAACGATGTGCAAAGGTTACCAATGACCTGTCCAAACCAACAGGCTTCTCATCTCCCCATTTCTGTGGTCCCCCCAGTAGAAGATACGAGGCTGTTTCATTTTTGTTTCTGTATTTCTAATTCACAGAAGGCATTTAAAGAATACTTGTTTACTGACTAACATCTAACACCTGAGCACCTTGTTCTTTCCTGAACACTGTCCTCCCTCAATTTGGGTGACACTGCACAGACCTAGTTTAGCACTTAGCTCACTTTTTTTTTTTGCATTCTTCATTTCTTCTCTAACTTCCTAAATGGAAGTATTAACTCAAAGGATCATTCTACTGGAGAACCCAACTCTTTAAAAAAACAAAAAGTTTTCATGCAATTTAGAGAGCTGTGTCTTCTAAGAGGAAAAAAACAATTCTGCAAAATTCATCAATGCATGCCAAGTTCCACATCCGTAGACCCCCATCTCCAAAAATGGAAAAAAGTGCATTCGTACATCTCTTCATCAAAACCAAGTTTAACTATTCCATTTACACAACATTCAGTTTTTATTTTTTTAGTTCTTTGGATTTACATTGCAGTAGTCATTTTGGATACTATTTTCTTGGTTCTCCCTACTTCATTTTGCATCAGCTTAATAAGTCTTCCCATGCTCCCTGTTTTCTTCATATACTTTGTTTCTTATGACACAAAGGATATTGCCCTATATTCATGTACCACAATGTATTTGGCCATTTCCCCAATAAAAGGGTACTTATTTAAATAAATGTCATATGTTGAATCATTCATTTTTAAGGCTTTAACAACTATGTTGAAGATTCTTAAATCTATCATCTCTAGCCTTGCTTAATCTCCCAAATTCTAGACTCACCTCCCTTACCTACTGAACATTTTTATTTGGATATTCTATAGTCACTTCAAAGTCTAAAATAATAATGCCTTATATTCACGTTAAATTTTAGTTTAACAATATAGTTGTTGGATGACTTGCAATGTAAATCTAAAGAGCATTAAAGAAAAAGGATGAAGAGAGAGAACTGCCTGAGTATATCCACAAAGCTAGATACTATAAATCTATGGCCTTAAAACATCTATATGCAAATGCCCACATTTAGGCAAGAAGCAAAAGGAACACAAGGAGGCAAGATGATACTCATACACGGAATATGGCTCTGGATAGGTATACCTTATTATTGGGAAATGTTGTCCAGTCTTTTCAGTCTTGTTTGGGTCTTTGTGACCCCATTTGGGGTTTTCTTGGTAATGATATTGGAGTAGTTTGCCATTTCCTTATCCAGCTCATTTTAAAGATGAGGAAACTGAAGCAAACAGGGTTAAGTGACTTGCCTAGGGTTATACGGCTCCAGTGTCTGAGGCTCAATTTAACCTCAGGTCTTCCTGACTTATGGCCCAACACTCTATCCAGTCTGCCACTATTAGGAAATAGGCTTAAGTTAACAATTTTCTTTGTTCCTCTAGGCAGTCTTCAGTATAAATTCTGATTTTGAGTAGATATATCCTTTTACCAAAGGTGTGAAGGGGAACCTGGAATTCCTATTCTTCATGATAGTTTTTAAATTACCTTTCTTTAATCAGGGGCAATATATTATAAGTTCCATGGAGGCAGGATAGATATTCTATATTTAATCTTTGTTTCTCTCTATATACTTAATACATTGTTTTGAACAAGTCAGATACCTCATAAATGTGTATTTTTTTAAATACCAAAAAAACCTTATTAAGGATAGATAAAAAGAGGTAGGTACTATCTATTAAGATGGTTTTTCTCAGATAGTCAAGGAGATGACAGAGAAAAAAAGCATTTGGGTAACAAACAAAAGAAAGAAACCAATCATTTTGTCATCAAGGTATACTAGAGAACTACTAGACAGAAAAAGGAAGTAGATGAGTTCAGGAAAGAGATTAAAAGCCTGGCACAATTACCAGGTATCTACTAGAAATCCTTCTTCTCTGTCAAAAGCAGAGCAGCTAATAACTTTGATTTGCCTTAATTTCATCCTTCAAAAGGTATATTTAAAAAACCCCCAGCAAATTCTACATAGAATCTAATTCTCACTGAGGAAGAACTGGTGGAAATGATAGGACTTTTTTTGGGGAGGGGGGAGTTAACACCTCCTTTTAGAGTTTGTGATAAAAAAAGAAACTGGCCATAATTTTGCCACTTATAAATCTTGTGGAGATAAAAGAAATGCCATCTCCCAGGGTCTTTTTTTCCACTTAGTCACCACCTCAGGTAACTCATCATCTGTACTACTACAACAGTCTTCTAATTGGTCTCACTGCCTCAAGTCTTTCCCCACATTAATCCATCTTTCACCCATCTCCCAAAGTGTGTAACCCAAAAAGCACAGGTCTGACCTTGCTACACCCTAGTCAGTGAACTTCAGGGCCTCCCAAACTCCTTTGTTTGGCATTTAAAACTCTGCAAAACATAGCCTCTTCTATCTTTACAATCTTCTTCCATATTATTTCCCATCCTTGTACTTTGGTCCAGCCCAGCTGGCCTACTTGCAGTTCCTCACATGTGACTCACCTAATGCCATGCTTTTGCACTGGCTTTCGAGCTTGGAATGCTCTCCCCTTTCTAACTCCACATTTTAGAATCCCTGGCTTCCTGGAGATTCAGCTTGAGCACCATTTTCAGCAGAAGGCTTTTCCCAGACTCTCATGGCTAGTACCTTCCCAAGTTATCCTGTATCTACTGTTATCTTGTATCTACCTATTTATGTACATGTTGTGTCCCCTAGACATGTAGTAGAATGTAAATTCCTTGATGGCAGGGACTGTTTTTGCCTTTTTTTTGTATATCCACCACCTAAGAATGTCTGGCTCATAATTTAAGTGCTTAATAAATGAATACTGATAAATTGGCTGAAATAGAACAGATTCCCACTAACTGGAGAGTGACTAAACAAATTGTGGTACATTGAAGTAATGGAATGAAATAATAAATATAAAGAATTTTGGAACACAATGGAAGACTTAATATGAACTGATTACAGAATGAGGTAAGCAGAACCGGAAAATAATACACACAATGACAACCACACAGGGAACAAAACTCAATAACCAAGCTTGGTCCTCAAAAAGAAAATTCAGTTCCCTTCCCTCTTTGCAGAAATAAGGGGGAATAGGGGTGTGGAATATCATATGTACCCTCAAACTCAGTTAATACTGTTCGGTTTTGCTGGGCTTCCCCCGCTTCCTTTAAAAAATCTGTAACAAGAGCTTGCTGACTTGGGAGAATGGAAGCATTTTCAACAGTATGACATAAAAACAAAAGGCATCAATTTTTTTAAGAAAAAGAAAAAAAATAAGACACTGCTTCCAATAACTAGATATTTGTCCCTCTGTATTTTACCCTCGTCATTCCGGACACCAAGCCAAAGACACTGACAACCAGGGAAGTGTCCAGAGGACAACTAGGATGATGAAGGGCCTTGAATGTATGTTATATGAGGACTGACTAAAAGCATGTTTAGCCTGGAGTACAGATGATTCAAGGGAGACACGATATCTGTGTTCAAATATTTGAAGGACTGTCATATGTAAGAGATATTACTTGTTTGGTCCTAGAGGGCAAAACTGGGAACAATGGGTGAAAGCTGCAAAGAAGCAAATTTAGGTATGATGTTAGGAAAAATAAAACAATCAGTGCTGTACAAAAAGTGGAACTGGGCTGCCCTGGGAGTTGTGGAGTTTCCCTTTATTGGAAGTCTTACACTGCAAGCTGAATGACCACTTGCCATTTACATGTTCTAAACACAGAGATACCTTTGGCCATAGGTTCAACTAGATGGCAGCTCAGTTTCCTTCCAATTCTTCAGTCTACGGTTCAGTTTATAAGTTTTACAAGTAAAACTTACACTTATATGAGGCTTTAAGATTTATAAAAAAAGCTTTCCTCACAACAACCCTATGAAGTACAAAGGACAAATAATCCCAGTTTACAGGTAACAGGTTCAGAAAGTGATGTCCAGTTTCACAAAATTACTAACTCTCATACCTGGAATTCAAACCATGTTCCCCTGACCGCTCTTGCTGAGGTGAAACAATGGGAATCTGAATTTACTACTTTATCTTAAAACTTATGATACAGATGATGAAAGCTGGCTATATTCTGACATTCCCCCTTTAATCTGAGAATGGGAGAAAGAAGTGAGAGAGATCTTATGGACTAAATTCTACAGGGAAAGTTAGTCCAGGAAGAATGGGAAAAAGTGTCAGGAGGTGCTGAAACTGGTGAGGGAATATAAACATCAAAAGTTGTTTTCAGGCTTTGTTTTTAAGTTAATTGGAGAAGAGAGGATGAAAAGAGCTGGTAGTCATGTAGCATTCTTTCGCAAAGCACTTTTAAGTATATTTTCTTATTTCATCTTTATATTAACTCTCTGAAGCTGATAATACAGGTATTATTATTCCCATTTTATAGATGAGGAAACTGAGACTCAACAAATTAATATATGTGACTAGCTCTCGATCACTGTTTCCAAGTATCTGGGGCAGGAGATGAACCTTACTCCAACCCAACACTCTTTCCACTCTACCATTCCCTAAGGATCAAAGAGATGATCCTCAGATTGAGGATAATGCTCAGAGTAGATGGGACAATAATAACAGATGACAGAGATGGTCATTTCTATTTTGTTAGAATGTAAACTACTCATGAGTAGGGGCTGTTTCATTCATTCTATTTGTATCCTCAGCCTGACAGGCATGTGCTTAATAAATACTGACCGTTTCTGTTTTCTCTAACAAGGGGAGTGATCTTTGGACTGGAAAGGAAATAACAATGATGGCTACTAGAGATGAAACCCAAGATGAAACCCTTAATGAGGCCGGGTCATCTGGATAACACCTCAGGGTACTGAAAGAATTGGCAGGCATGACTGATAAGCTCAGTGATCACTAAATAACTGTGGAAAATGGGAAAGGTACCATAGGATTGAAGGAAGACAATTCTCCTGATTTTCAAAAAAGAATACTCTTGAGTCTAAAAACTAGTGAGTTTGACCTTGACTCCTGTCAAAATTCTCAAAGCTCTTATTAATAACGTAGTTAGTAAAAATCTAGACAAGAAAGCATGGTGGTGCACACCTATAATCCTTGTTACTGGGGAGGCAGAAGATCCCTTGAGTTGAGCAGCTTGAGTTAAAGCTGGCTGAGTAACTGCACTAAGTCTAGCAAGAATATGGTTGAGTCCCTGGGAGAAGTCGGTGTCACCAGGCTGCTTAAGGAGGGGCAAACTGGCCCAGCTTGGAAATGAAAGAGGTCAAAGTTTCTGAGTCAGTCAGTAGAGGGGTTATACTCATTAGTGGCCACTGCACTTCTACCTTGGGCAAGTTGGGGAGAAAAGAAAGCAGCAACTGTAACAAGTTAGCATGGCTTGAACCAAAACAAGCCATGCCAGACCAACCTTATTTCCTTTTTTCGGACAGAATTACTAGGCTACTGACCTAATGATCAAGGAAATATTGTAGATACAGCTTACCTAGATTTTATTTCTTTGTTCTACACCCCAAGGAAGTTTTTATTAAACACAAGCAAACAGTCTACAAATCAAAATTGTAACATTTAACAATGGCAGGCTTCTCAGAGACAAATAAGTCAATATTACTGGTAGGCACCTAGTACTCAGGATAAAAAAAAAGGAAGTGGAAATATCGGGGCCTAACTCTTTTGTCTTTTTAATGAAAGGACATTTCTTCCAGGTGTCACTGGGAATAAGCTTCTACATGGCATCCAAAGTGTCTTCCTACCTGCTGCCCCACAAAATTTATAAAAAGAATTGATGAGTGAATGATCAGTTGTTTCCTCTCCACTTTCATTGCCTTACACCGTCATCCTCAGTTTGGTCAAAGCCATTATTCTCTTTCTATTCCTCTCCCACCTTTTCAACCCTCTGGGTCTCAGTCAAGACACCTGGCTAGTAGCAAAGATGCCTGGGTTGCTTTCCCCATTCCATTTCTGAAAAGTACATGCACAGCACCACCATAGGAAAAATGTATAGGACTTGGAATCTGTTCCTGTGATTCTCTCCACTGACTACAGTGGGTAAGGGGAACTTAGTGTTTGATTAACTTCTTTCAGGCTCTAAACGACCTGGTCCTAGACGTAATTAGAGATTGCTACCCATCCTTCTCCTAGAGAAACAGAAGTTATGAGGGCCTGAACTAGGGTGCTAGCTGCCTGAATGAACAGAAGGGAATGGATATGAAATGTTGTACAGGTAGAACTGGTGGTACTTGGCAAATGACTGGAATTATGGATTTGAGGAGAGAGGGAATGAGTGAGTCAAGATTTGAATTTAGGTGACTGGAAGGATAGTAGCATACACAGAAGGAGTAGTTTTAGTTGGAAGAAAAGGTGAAGAAAATGAGTTTCATTTTAGACATGTGAGGTTTGAAATACCTATGAGTCATTCAGATAGCTATATCTAGCAGGCAGTTGATAATTCAAGACTGAAGCTTGAAAGGGATTTGGATTGTGTGTGTGTGTGTGTGTGTGTGTGTGTGTGTGTGTGTGCGCGCACGCACCCACGCGTGCATTTAGGAGTTTTCTGCATATGGAAACTGAAAATGCAGAACTAGGCAAGGGGATATAAATAAAAAAGAGAGCCCAGCACAGAGCCTTGGGGGACGCTCAGAATTTGGCGGCAAGACATGGATATAATCCATTAAAGGATTCTGAGGAGCTAAATATCAAGGAGAAGAACCAGGAGAACTACTATGCAGCTATGAGAGCTAAAATTAACCCATCCATGAGCATTTATTAAGAACCTACTATGTGCCAGGCACTGTGATGGGGATACAAAAACAAAACTGAGACAGTCCATTCCCTCAAGGCCTTCACATTCTACCAGAGGGTTACATGTTCACAGCTAAGTACAATCAGGATAGATCCAAAATAAATACAAAGTGGTGAGAGGGGCACTAACAAATAGGGGAATCAGAGCCTTAAACAGGTAGTGTTTCCAAGGAGGGAGAAAATTCTAGGGGTAGAGTTTAAAAAGGCAGGAAATGGAATTTTGTGTACTGGGAACACTAAGTAGGGCAGTTTGGCTCGAATGTGGTATATGAGGGAGAGTTAACTTAGACTGAAGTCAAAGCTTTAAATATAAAATGATAGTACTGAAGCTTCTTGGGTAATGACACAGATATGCATTTGAGAAATATCAATTTGACAGCTATGCAAGGGATGGACTGGAGAAAGGAGAGACTTGGTTCAGGGATACCCATTAGAAGGCTATTACAACAGCCTAGGAGAGAGGTGATGTGAGCTGGGCTACAGTGGTTGTGGGGTGAGTAGAGAGAAGGGGATAGATATTTAGGATAAAGAATTAACAAGACTTGGCAAATGATTGGATGTGGTAAGTGAGAGTGAGTGAAGATACACTGATGTCTCCTAGGTACTGAACTTGGGATAAATGAATGAATAATAGTGCCCTTGGCAGAAACAGTGAAGTTAGGAAGAGATGTAAGTTACAGGGAAAAAGATAGTAAGTTTTTGTTTTGGACTTGCTGAGTTTGAGATTCCTATGGAATATGCAGGTGGGGATTTCTAGCAGGAAGTTAGTGATGGGAGACTGGAATACAAGAGAGATGCAATACATTTGGGAGTTGTCTGCACAGAGATAATAGTTAAATCCATGGGAGCTTAAGGATAAAGATTATGCATGCTTTATGGATCAAACTAAGTACATATTTCAAATTAGAAGCTGTAGGAAGGAAGAGATAAGTGGAAGGGTCACAAATCATTAAGGCGCTATCAAGGATCAAGTCATGTCTTTCTTCTCTTCTCCCCAAGACTTACCGCCAGCACGGCTCCTTCACTCAGTACCAAGTAGCCCAGCTGGTCAGGGATACGCTCCAGCCCCTGGGTCAATGCAGATGTCTAGAAGAAGCACAGTAAATTATGAGAAGGGAAAAATCAGAGGAAAGAGTTAGTCTGAGATCTTTCCTACTTACTTTCAAACCACTATTCCTCCTGCTGCTGATGCTACACTTCCCCTGCTCCCGATGCTACACTTCCCCTGCTCCCCTATTTTCCTTACACGTCTCTCCCCTTGCCAAGACTTTAGACTAGGACAAATAATAATTGCCGATATTTATACAGGGCTTTGCAAGCACTTTTGATCCTCACAACAACCCTGTAGGGAGTAATCACTACAGGTTAATTACTATGTCCATTTTAAAAATAAGAAAATAGGATCAAGAGAAGTTTAGGGACCAGCTCAGTGTCACACAGTGTCACAGATGGAATTTGAAGTCTCTCCTGATTTTCAGTCCAGCTCTCTTTTCATTATGCTGATGCCCAATACACTATTTCTTCTCAGTGCCCAAGTGCCTTATTTCCCTCCTTCAAGTTCTAAACACTCAGATTTCTGTTCCTTCCCTTCAACTCACAACCCCAAATCTTCCCTTCTCCTTGAAATGCTAATTCAAACACAACAAAAGTTTATCATTCACTTATGTGAGTTAAATTTTCTAATCTCCTTGCCTCAAGGCTCTCCTCTCCAGTGTATCTTCCATAGTTGCCAAACTGATGGTCCTATGATACAGGTCTGACCTTATCCCTCTTCCGCTCAGAAGCTCCAACAGCTTCCCCTTGCCTCTAAAATAAAATGCAAACTCCTCCCTTAATTTTTTAAAGCTCTACAGTCTGGCTCCAGCTTACCTTTCTAGGCTTACTGCACATTATTCTCCTTTTCAACTAAGCTGGCCTGCTTGTTCTTCCTCATAAATTACAATCTGGACAAACCGAGGACTTTTGCATAGAATGTACTCATGGGATCATAAGGCCATCTATTTAGAGATGGAAACCTCAGAGGTTATCTAGTACACTCCCCTCATTTTACAAATAATGAAAATGAAGCCCAGAAAGATTAAAGCAAGGTTTCACAGTAGCCTCGGGGGTGGGAAGTGAACCTCCAAATTCAATTCTTGAGTTTTTCAATTCAATTCTCCAAGTCAAGTCTTGACTCCAAGTCCAGCATTCATTACACTGCCACCACACTGCCTCCCCTGATAACTCTCTTCATAACCGAACACCAGCTTTGTTCAAAACTCGATTGAGTACTACTTCTGCCTGTTGGCCCCAGTTGCTGGGTAGGGCCTTCCCTTTTAGAAATTACTTATATTTTGCATTTAATTGCTGTGCACGTGTCACTTTGATCTGCCAAAATAAAGTCATTCCTTTGAGCGCAGGGCCTGTTTCCTTTTTTCTATCCCCAGCAGTTGGAGAAAAGCCGGCCCCTTAACTGCTTAAAGCTTGTTGATAAATTAATTGCTAGGCACAGTACCAGGAAAGACAAAACTGAAACAGATCGAGTCCTCAAGCTTTCTTCGGGGGGAGGGGACAGTCAGGACAGGGTGAGGAGGAGGAGCACGAACTATCCATATAAAAAATAAAGGGATTTCTTTCTCCCACCCCCCTTCCCAAGTCTCCAAATCAACGAGCATTTATTTATTAGGCGGTGATTATGTACCGGAAACTCAGGGGACAAAAATGTCCTAGGCCCTGTCCTCACGGTGCTTCCGTTCTTCTCGGAGGAAACACTATGCAGCCTGCAATCCTTACGGGCCCTTTCCTGCCTCGGGCTCCTTCTCCCTTTAACATCATAGCCCACTTCCCATCGCTCCCAGAAAACACCACCTCCCCACGCCGCCCTCCCCCCTTCCTGGAGACCCCTCCCCGGCCCCTTCTCTTCCCTCCGAGGCTCCACCAGACCCGACCACCCCCAACTCGCAGGCCCTTCCATCCTCTGCCGCCTCCACCTCCCCCAGGCCCGACACCCCGGAGCCACCTCTTTGAAGGGCGGTTGGGGGGGGCATGGGGCGCTGCACTGGGGGGAGAAGGGGAGAAGGAGAGAAGAAAGGGAAGGGAAAGACCAATGCGCATGCGCCATCGCTTTCTCACCATCTCAAGCCGTAGGTGCGGAGAAAGCTGGCAAAAAGTGGGGCCGCTTCCGGGTTGTCACCTATATCACGTGCCGGGACGCGGCCTCCCTACTCCCCACCATTCCTTTCCGTAGGGACTTGGGCACCAGGCCTATACCACTCACTGATTGGGCAACTGAGACGCCACTCAAGACTCAGCCTATCCGAGTTACTTCCACGCCCCCTCTCCCTAGGCTGGATATCGGTCGCGCACGCTCGTTCTTTTAGTTTCTCCCTCTCTTCTCTCCTCCCAGCCTTCCTGACTATGTGAATGATGGGTTGGGTGTGGGGAATGGGGAGGAAAGCGGGACGGGGTTATTAGAAGAGGCAGAGATCGAGGTTGGGGGCTACTTATGGCTTTATGGTGCTTACCATTTACTATAGAAAGACGCAGTCCTCTTATAGGCGTGGATGAACGTTTGTAGAGGACTTCTATATATTAACTTGATTTACCCTGGGAAGTAGGTGGTTTTATCCCCATTTTACATACGAGAATATTGAGGCAGACAGAGGTTCAATGACTTTTCCAGGGTTATACAGTTTGAACTAATGCCTTCCAGAGGCTGTCCACGGCGCCACTTAGCCATCCCTACCCTACCACAGGCCACAGACAGCCTGCAGTTAATGAGTGCATGTGTCCCTCAAGACTCTTATTAATGTGTGATTTCTTTGGTCTAGGGAACTCCCAGCACAGGGAAAGACCACAATCTCCCTTATCTGCTACTTTAGTTGACAAGGGAGAAACCCAAGAGGCACAAGAGGTAGTCACTTTGGGGTCCCTAGTCACAGCCAGGGAGAGGGAGGGTCTTATATTCTACATTCCTTCAGTCATTCGGCTGCTGAAATCATTAGTCACAATTCTGGATGATAGCTGATGCTTCTAGGAAGAGACCTGGAGAGTCTGGGAGGTGGAGTGTCACCATACAAAATTTAGCACAAGACAGGACAGGATAGAAAGAAAGTGGAAAAGAAAAACATAAGGTTCAGTAAATGAGAGGAAATATAAAATGAAGGGGCAATCAGAGAAGATGAACACAGGGCAGGCCCTTGGGTCCTGCATGGCTTTAAGTGGCCAACACAGGTGAAGCAGGCTAGTTTTTATAGGGTTCCCATCACTGTCAAATAGGAACAGACATAGTTTTGAGCTTCTCTAGGGCTTCTTCGTTTAGCAGGTTGAGGAAGCTACTATATTTCTTACTACATACCTCTTCAAGACCTGCGCAGTTCCCATAACTCACACTACCAGTGAAGAAGAAGGTCTAGGTTTGCTCCTTCACTGTTTCTGTCTCTTGCTGATTCTTGGATCAGCTTTCTGCTTGTTCAAAGAGCTTCTGTCTTTGCTGTCCAGGAATTCTACTTGATCTAGAAAATTGGCATGGTCTAGGAATTCCCCTACTCAGAAATGCATCTCTGCTTGGTCTAGACCATCAATTCTTAACCTTTTTTGCATAGATTTTTTTGCGTCATTTTGTGTCTGCCAATCTAGTGAAGCTTGTGGACTCTTCAGAATAGTGTTTTTAAATGCACAAAATTAAATACATAGGATTACAAAGAAGACAAATTACATTGAAATATAATTACCAAAAAATTTTTAAAACAAGTTTATGGATCCCAAATTAAGAACCCCTGATCTAGATATTAGGTGTGACCCAAGGACTGCTGCTACTTTGTCCTCTTTATCAGGCAATGAACATCATGTTTTCTGGAGGGCTCACATGGTTCCTTGGAGAGACTGCACTGATTTTTGCTAATCTTCCTCCCAGGAAATGAATCTGTATACCTCTTTGCCTCGATGGCCTGTGTAACCTCAGTTTTCTAGTTTGATATCAGCAGTAGTCTTGAAGAGGGAAGTTTCAGTTGAGCAAAAGGATCAGAAGTCAGATTGCTAGAGATTGAAAAGTGAGTGCTTTCTAAGAGTTTGGGAATAAAATGAAGGAAAGATATAGGAAAACTATCTTGAAGTAATGGCAAGGTCAAGTGAAGGATATTTTTTAAAGGTGTGAGGTACTTCCCATTTGACATGTGAACAGTTTGGTTGCTGAAAGGGAAAGAAAAAGTATATTTCAACATGGAAAAATGATGCAATCAACTTCTAAAGAAACATAGTCTCACATAAAATATTGAGGAGAGGGGTAGCTAGGTGGTGCAGTGGATAGAGCACTGGCCCTGGAGTCAGGAGAACCTGAGTTCAAATCCAGCCTCAGACACATAACACTCACTAGCTGTGTGACTCTGGGCAATTTGCTTAACCCCAGTTGCCTCACAAAAAAAAAAAAATTGAGGAGAGACTAATTGTTCTAACAACCAAATAGAGAACTGCCTTCAGAGGAATTGTACAGAGAGGACATGTTTGAAGATTAATCAATTATTAACATAATAATAGCTACATTGTGGTCCATAAACTCATTTGCATGTAACTATTTTTAGAGTTTTAAAGTTTATAACTGGGAAATTGTAAATCAAATAACTGGGAATAATGAGAATTATATAAGAATTTTGGGGTTCATACTTAGCAGAAAGATGGCTTTCTTGAGTTTGACCTCATAAGGTAAAAATGAATCATTGCCTACCAGCAGCTATAGAATTTAGCAAAAGAAGTTTGTGATGATTAAGAAGGTGTGAGAAACATAGTTTCTGGGTAATTTAATCATTTTATTAATAAGCCCAGCACATTACTAATAAAAGGATGGTCATTTGGCCATCTCTGTTGGACCAAAGACAATCATGGCATCAGACTCACAGTTTATACACCCTCAAAGAGTAGGTGTTCAATGAGAGGCTGAGAGTGACATCATGTCACCCTTAGAAACTATCTCTATACTCAGACCATTCCCACTCTTGGGCTATCTTATACATACACACACACACACACACACACATACATATATACCTATATACATATATATACATGTGTGTGTGTCTTATATATAGACAAAAAGGAACTGTGTGTGTGTGTGTGTGTGTGTGCATCTTATATATAGACAAAAAGAAACTGTCTCCTCCCAAGCTTGAATAGAACACAATGGGCTTCCCCACTTTAGATTAAATTCCTTGTAAGGTTGGGTAGGGTTTGACCAAGATGGAGGAGAGTTAATTCAATCTCATTATCAATAACATCCTTCAAGAGACTGAACTTAAAATCAGGACTTTGGAAGAACGGGAGAGCTCTGAATCTCCCCCAAGATACTGATTACTAATAATAATTTCTCTCAAAGTATAGGAAAAGATAGAAGAATCTGGAGAGTGGGTTAAACTAAGGAGTTACAAGAAACTGATGACAGAATATATATATATATATATATATATATTATATATATATGTATGTATGTATATATATGTATATATATATATATAGAGAGAGAGAGAGAGAGAGAGAAAGAGAGAGAGAGAGAGAGAGAGAGAGAGAGAGAGCTATGAGAAATGCTGTTTATAGAAGACAGAATACAGAACCTAAGCTGAGCTGACAGTAAGGCTTTACAGTGGTTTTGCTGGGAGTCTGCTGATTGGAGAGAGGCATTACTTTGTTGTTTGGCTAGAGTAAGGCTGGATCAGCTGTGAAAACTTTTCAGTTTTTCTAGTAATAGGAGAGGCAAATTCTGTGGTTGTGTACAGTGATTCAGCTTATTACTCTCTAGTGCCACCTACAGACCAGAATAGAGGGAAACCCCTCAGAGGTGTCTGTGTAGTCATCCTTCCTGGTTTAAGAGAAAAAGAGGAAGGGAAAATCGGTTTTGTGTGTGTGTGTGTGTGTGTGTGTGTGTGTGTGTGTGTGTGTGTGTGTGTGTGTGTGTGTGTATATGTGTGTATATATACATACACACAGACACATGTATTTGAGATATATTTTTTTTTCTTTTTTCTTCCTGTGAGCTGTGCTTCACTCTAAGAAGTTCAAAGCTGATTGGACCATGCAGAATCCCTTGGGGGTTTTTTGCAAAATGGAGGAGTTTGGCAGTTTTCTGACTCAAGGGAACTGCTTATCACTGAAAGAGCATAATACTCTCAAGCTCACTGTTAAGAATTGCTGTGAGTAAAAAGAGCTTGTTACTGCTTCAGCAGCTTGAAAGCAGAGGGAGAGTGGCTTACTAAGCTAGAGAGCAATGAAGACCAGAAGAAGAGCAACCAGCAAAAAAGCAGCTTCGCGCAGTATAAATTGTTCCTAAGGGACCAAGGACATCAACGCCTATAATCTAGAGTGGTGAGTTGCCCCAGACACAGGGGTTTCCTCACTCAAGTACCTCCTTGTTGGGTTTCTATAAGGGTGTGCCCCACTCTCCTCATGGATCTTATATACATTAGTGGGAATATTGTGACCCAGGTTTATGGATGGGTTGTAATGTTTTGAGAGTTACTTCTTTTTCCAACCATTCCATTTTGGAACAGTTCTAATTGTTAAAAAGGGTTTTTTTGACATTAAATCTAAATTTGCCTTTCTCTAATAGTCATTCATTTGTTTTAGTTCTGCCTTCTGGGACCAAACAAAATAAATCTAATCTCTTTTCCACACAACAGCCCTTTGAATACAGCTGGGTCTTTTGTTATCCCAGCTCATCATGTCCAGTCTTTTCATCTTGCACATGAGGAAATTAAGGCCTACAGAGGTTAAGTGATTTGCCCAGCGTCAGTGACAATTGAGACTTGTTGACCGACAAAAACAATTTTAAAAAAAAACAACACATGATTATATAAGTAGGTGGGAAAAAAGGCTTTGACAAAATATAGTAGTCATTTATTTTAAAAGTGTCAAAAAACGTCAGAGTATGGCCCTTTAACCCAGAGGATCTAGCTGTTAAGGAATGTTAAGGGGTCCCCTAAACTTGTTTTTTTTGAGTTGCCATATTTCCAGAAACACTGGACCTGGAGTATATAGGAGGCCCTGAATATGTCAAGGACAAAGACTGCCCTGAACTGACACAATTTGTTGTTTGCATCCCAACCTGGACTCTTTGTGTGTCCTTGGGAGTCAAGCTAGTC